TAATGTGGAATTCCCCTGGGAGAACTTTCCCTCACCCACTTGGTGCTCTATACAGTGTTTCTTTTTCAGAATTTGTGTAAAGACTCAGTGAGGTAATGTTCATCTATTATTTATTCATTAACAAATATTTTCTGAGAAGCTACTGTGGGCCAGATACTGTTCATAGCACTGGGAATACAATAATGAGTAAGACTTAGATGGCTGTTCTCGTATGGTTATGTTCTAGCAGGCCTTCAATTCTAATGTAATTGTCTGAAGGTTTTGGTTGCAATTAACAGAAACCCAACTTGTTTAAGAAATTAATTGGTTCCTATCCTTCAGTGTATCATGAGATAGCCCATTGAAGCTGAAGAAGAAATGCAGAGATCCCTACATGTCATCTGGAACTGAGGACTAAATTCTGAGCAACTGTGACTCTCCCTCTTCATCTATCTCTTGCTTCTGCCTTTCTGCATGTTGGCCTCTTTCCTGTTGCAGATAAGAGTTACTTATACAATGGGGGAAATATTCACTGTTGCCTCAGCTTAGCAACCCAAGAGAGAAATGCTTCTTTTTTCAGCGTCTGCATGACAATCCCCAGCAAGGGCCCTCTAGCCCCTGCTTGGGTCACCTTCTCACCTTTTGAACTAATTAATCATCATTGCCAGGAAGGTAAAGAAGCATGACTGGCCAGTGGCCGATACATCACCGTGTACCATAATCAGTGGCTCCACCCAAAACACATGGAGAGGAGAAGGAATGTTCCCTAATAGGAGAGAAGCAAAAAGATAAAACATCAATTACCCTACCATGAAAGACATTTACCCTAGAGACTGGCAGGTAGTAAGTATAATAAGGGGTAGTTTAAAGTAGTGATAGTACTCATTAAACACAGGGAGAAATGTCTGTGCTTTGTCATCTTTGATGCATCTTTCAACTATAATGCTATGCCCAGGAGGAAAGCACACTCATTCAAAGCAACATACCTGGAATGAGTGAGCTCCAGGAAATACTTTCCTTGGTGGTGTAAGGACTATGAGCTGCCTTCCTTTTAATTTGATGTGAATTTCAAGTGCTTTAACGATGCCTGTAATCTTGTCAACCCTCAAAGTGGGAGGTTCTCTTCATGTCAGAGTCACTGGGGATAAATGTATCAAGACATCTATTTGGGAATGAGGTTGGGCATCCAATGGCCACTGGAACAGTGACACCCCTGTGTTGATAATGAGTCATCCACCCATTGGCCTGAGATACCAGAGAGTTTGTAACTCAGCTTGATGAAGGTCTTTGCAAGAAATGGTATAATTGCATGTGGTGTACATTGTTTCTTCAAGACATCTCTATGAAATGTCTGAAATTGGGGCCTCCCTGGTGATGCAGGCAGTTGAGCACCACGCTGTAGCACTGGTTTGATCTCGGCTGGCTGGCGAGAATCCCACATGGAGCGGCAGACCTCTGCTGTTGCGCCCGCTGCACCCCTCAGCAGTATGTTTCATCAGTCTGCCTGTTTTGCTCCCCGCTCTGTCTCTGGTGAATCCTCTCACCCTCATATCTAGCCTGTACCCTGGTTCTTATATAAACATAAATAAATCTTTAAAAAAAAAAAAAGAAATGTCTGAAATTGGACTAAAGTTTAGGACCCAATTCCAAGTAGAACTGGAATGCTGTCGTTCCCTCTCTCCCTCAGTAAATAAATAAAATACACATTGGATCCTATGATTCCTCTGTATACAGTTCATTAATGGTTTTGTAATCTATTGTACAGTTAGAACTGCCTAACCTGACATATGTTCCTCCACGAGGCAGCCCTTGCCTACACTTCCCTTCAATACTGAGCTCTCCAATTTCTTTCTAACAATTTGAAGTTAGTAGACTATACCATGTCTTTTTTTTGCTTCTGTTCTTAGTATTGACCCTCTACCCAGCATGCTGTTCTCTTCTTTTCTATTTGGCAAGCTTCTCCTTGTTCTTTTAAAACTTAGTTCAGATGTTTGAAATTCTTGAATGCTGACTTCAGTGACCTTTCTAGTCAGTCTTAATGCTTTTGTTTTATTCTCTTAAGTTGTTAGATTGAGACATGGCCTCTCTTGTTTACCTCTGTCTGTCTCTCTCACTATACCTCTTAACCACAGGAACAGCCTTTTTGTTTACTTCCATATTTTGCTACACTTAATACAGAACATAATACAAAGTACATATTTTTTAAAAAATGGTCTTTGATAATCCTTCCTGTTTGCCTTATTATCCATGAGAACATGGGCTCTTTCTTTTTATATGTAGAATTCTGAAAATGTAGTTGAGTTTGGGCAATATGAAGTCTTAACATCTTGCTTTTATATATTAACACAGCTAAGTGTTTACAATTTGGAGAACTTGTTCTACAAATGACAAGCTATAGGAACACACCTCTGCTTTTCTTACTGGAGGTATTGCCCCTTGGTGGGCAATCAGTTCTCCACAGTCTGTCACGTATCAGGAGCATGTCATTTCCTTGGTGCTTGCTATATAGTCATTTTTTAATCTTGCTCAAGAAATTTCTTTTGCTTTACAGTAGTAGAATTGATTTCCAAACTAGTTTTTATACCAGTAAAATAAACTTTTAATAAAAATAACGTCTTTGTTTATTCAGCATGTAAATAGAAACTATTGAGTTATTTAATGCAACTGATAGTTTAGCCTTTTTAATATAATTGTGAAACCTGTCAGTTAAAAGAGTCAAAATTTTATTCTTCAAAACTGGATTATTTTCTAACTCTTTAATATTAGAAATGGAGCTTTTTGGATTCAATATAAGTAATGTCTTTCATGTCTATCTGCAATGTTCCCATTTAATTTTCTGATGAACTGTTCCAGTTGGGTAATGTGCAGTCACAACTGTGCGAATGGATAATATATCTACAGTTCCCAGTGCTCCTTCTCTAGAGGTTTGGTTATCTTATAGTAGTTTGTTACTTTGTCTTAATTAGGAAATCGTACCATTTTATGCTTCGAGCTGATAGCATATGCGCATAACTTTTTTTCTTACTGACAATAGACCTTATGATACAGATTTTATTTATATTTTCAAAGGTCTTAAGTTACCTTAAATTTTTAACTTGAGACTAGACTGTCAATGTTTTTGAAGGTGAAATGAGATAAAAAGGAAAAACAAATTCCCACTGAATCAACCATGTGACACTGCAATTTTCTTTCTTGGCTACGCTGGGGACCCCTACCCCTGCCCCCAGCCTCCTGAAGATTCTGATTTGCTTAATATGTTCCTACTTTATATTTTTACTAATTTTGAGTGTATGATCATTTTTTCCATGTTTTAGTTTTCTTTAATCTATTGAATTAATTACATGGTGATTTTAGTCCCTCCTATCTTGAAATACAGTTTATTAATCTCTGTTGTGATAAAATTATCTGTTGTGGTAAAATTATCAAGTGACTCTAAAGTCTAGGACATTTAGATTGAAGTAGTTACTTTGATCCTTATCTACTGGGCTTATTTTAAACATTCTAAAATAAATTTTAGAATAACATTGTATAAGGATTAATTTTCAGTAGTCACCATCTTGATTTTTTTTTCAATAGGAAGTTAATCCTATATTCTCATAGTCAACTATCCCTCCGTGAGTCAGTGATCATTGTTCTTAGTCTCTTATAACCCTGGCTTAATCTAATCCCTGAATGCTGACCCTGACATCCATCATCCAGTGTTATTCAAGGACCTGCAGAAAGTGGCAAAACACAAGTGATTCAGTATCTATAGTTGAGTACCTTTTTTTGTAAAATTAGAAATTTTTACTGTGTAGATTTTTAAATTGGTATAGTTAAAAAGTTATTTTGTCAACAAAAAATGGCCCCCTAAGGTTCATGTTGAATGGCCAATTTTTATGATGTTTTCAGCCCATATTATTTAATAGATACTGAGAGAGAGAGGGAGAGAGAACGAATGTATGTTATTCATTTGTAGCAACTGCGCTGTATATCGGGACATGACCAAATAGGCTCTGACCTATATACTTTTACCACTTGGGCCATTGAAAAATATTAAGATTCATATTTCTTACTGAATGCCCAAAAGTAACAGGAATTGTATATTTCCTCTAATTCATAAAGAATGTAGGTATAGATTGAGCTCCAGAGTGTTACATGTGAAGTATGTTGACCTTAGAAATTTTGCTGTTGTAGGCTTTTCAGCTTTAGTTCAAGTTCTAGGCGTAGTTGTTTTATTCTCAGCCATCATTTAAAGTCTGATCATTTTTAATTTTACTAAATTTTACCCTTTACTCATAGGCAGGGTAATTCTATTTTCCACATATCAGCCATAACAGAACCTTAGTTGCTCCCTCATGACAGTGAGACAGAACAAATAAGCTATGGCAACATTTTATTCTGAAAATTTTCAACAAGATATTAAAGGTAGGTTAGCATTAGCTAAATGTTTTGACATATTTTTGTTCAAATAGAATTTCACATCAACTGACAATATAGTTTTCACTCTAAACCGTATTTATCTGCTGACAGTATTAATTTTTGTAATAGGTATAGCATCTTGAGTCCTAATAGTTCCTCTAATCAAATGTGATAATTTAGTATATCACCTTTCTTGATTAAAAAATCTTTAAAGTGGGTAATATTCTGGAGGTCACAGTTATGATATGAATGCTTTATGGAGATTAAATTGAAGTATTATAGAACCAATTTGTTAAGCTTTTATGTATAAAGTTTTAAATACTTAATCAATTAAGGCTGAAATCTTTCCCTATAATAATCAGTAGTAATCACTACTTTCAAGATCTTTTCCCATTTGATTTTAGATCTTGTTTGGTGTTTACTGCCTGTATCATTTTTTGTTTGCATTATCACTTTTGTACATGTCTCATGAATTCACCTGAATATTACATTTTATATTTAATTTTAAAAAACCCACATGCTTCTCATATTAAAACATTCTAAGTACCAACACCTCCTAACTGGATCTTATATTTTGGGTGATATTTCTAAAATGTTGCTAATGTTTTTAATTTTAATAGCCTCAAGTACTACAGCCTTCCAGCAGCCTTCCCAGACCCACAGACCACGCCCAGGGAAAACTAATAAAGCCGCAACATACAGAGGCCTGCAGTGAATACACAGTCCAGAGCAATCTTCAGGGTGTTGCACATCTGGATAAAAGCTTTACGCACAGCTTGCAACAAGAAAGCAACTGTGGTCTGGAAGACCGGCCTTTTTCATCAAGCCTGGAATTTGCTAAGGATGTAACTAAGAGTACACCTTCTGAAGCAAACTTGAACATGACCACGGATGCTCAAGAGCCTTATCATTTGGTGAATAATCAAATTAGTGACATTCAATTGGTACCCACTTCTCTTCAGTCACTTCCCCAGTCAAGTACAGTAGACCAGGCTAAGAGAGTTGGAAGAAATCTATCTTCACCTGAAGGCTACACGTCTCAGCCTAAGCCCTCGCAGCTTTTTAAGCCACCCATCTTGAATTCTTTGGTACCTCCTCCAGTTTCTGAATCATCTCCAAGTAGGACTCCCACTTGTAAGAAGTCACCATTAATCACACCATGTAATTCAGCAAAACTTCAACCAGCATCCAGTCAAACAAATCTTGCAAATAATACAAATCCGAAAGCATCTAAGCTCCGTCCGCCTTCTGGCTTTTTCAAGCAGAAACAAATTAGCAACCCCCTAGTTGAGCCTCAAAACTTCCAGGCCAAGACAAGTATCCCAAGGCCACTACTAAGAAGAAAAGAAATCATGCAGAGTCAGAATGGCAATTTGAATTCTGGGGATTGTTTGGCTTCTAATCGGTATTCTCGTCTTCCTAAACCAAAGATACATTAAGTACTTAGCCATCACCTGCCAATTTGTTCTGTTTTGTTTTTTTAAAAAAATCTGTTCTGTGATAGCTTTATGTGCAGTATGCTATACTACCCATAATGGAGGTTCCATTGAAAGTCTGCAAATCTTAAAATTAAACGGTGGAAACTTCTACTAGTTTGGCTCTTCCATTTTATATCCTGGTTGAAGTACATAGCATTTGAGCATATTCGTCTCAGGTAAACACAAAAGTTTGCTTACCCATCTCAGATGCCTAGAGAAGGCTCTAATCATGTTTCCCTTTTTTCATCCCTCTGCACATCAGAAAATTCATAATTTTCCACTTCGCGGGCAAGAACTGTGCTTTGCTGATTTAGTCCTTTTAAATCTGTATTAATTGTGGTTCTTAGAGCCCCTTCCTTTTCACTTGTCACTTCTGTAAATATGGCTACTATTTTACTAAAGGTTTGGTGAAAATGAATGATGATCATCTGTAAGCAGAGTTCTGGACAGTGATTTGTATATTTGAAAGGTCTATGCAAAAGTTCTATGATGAATAAAAGAGATCGGGCTTTTAGTGGGAAGTCTATGTAAGTTTTATTTTTCCTTGTTAGTATCACAAATTAGTCTCAATATTTTATTTATTTACCAGACCATTTCTCCAGGCTAAAAATATATTATATAAAAATCAATTATATATTACATTAATGTCTTGTTTTACACACACAGACATACATACACACACACACCTGTCCCATTTGTATTTATTTTCGCTACTGGATAAATTTTAGAAAGCTTAAGACAACATCTTGAAACCTGTACCTGAAGAGGTATTTATTTGTAACACATGTTGGTGCTAGAGTTTTGCTGGTGATTCCGTTTTGAACCTTACAGGCCTTTAGATCCATGATAGCTATTTTAAGGTTCCAAGGCATATCTTAAGTCTCTATTATAATATTTGTATTTATTGACTTTCTGCTAATATCTGAAGACTAGAATAATGGGTTTGAATGTTTGCACAAAACTTGGATGGGCTATAAATATACCATACATAGGAATTTAAAACTTTTCTATAATCAGCTAAAATATTTTGAATAATTATAAGTTTAATATCATTTTGAGATAGCTGGCATTCACGATAGTTTTATTTTCCAGGTTTATCCTTTATGTTGATGTATGTTTGAATAATAGGTTTGGGAAGGTAGAATTGGAGAGGGAAAAATTGTGTCTTGCTAAAGGTATTGAAAGATATTTCAATGACAATATGTTTATTTTAATGGGCTAAGGAGGTAGCTGTGGAACCTCCAAGGGACCATGCATCAGACATCAGGCCACTCAAAAGATGGTTCAGTATGCTTTCCCCCCTGTTCTCACAAATCTTGTCACCTTGAGGCTGTTCACCTGTTGATGCTTTAATTACAGTTAATGTCTTTTATAGACAGATAGCATTTTTGGTTTGATCATTTGAGCAAAAATGTATTGGAAGGGGTTAATGACCAAAAACTTAAGATTCAAATTTCTAGGAATTCCTACAAAAAAATGAACATTGATGAAATTTTCTGCCCCTTTGAAGAGAAACGGCAAGTACTTTAGTGGAAATTTCAAAAGAGATATCTTATCATTTTGATTCAATTTTCCCTTACCTGTCAGAACCATTCGAATGAATTTGGCATTCACTAGATACGAAGTATTCTTGGATTTGGTAGCAGGTGCACAGCATAATTCTGTTATACTCTCATTTGAATTAGGCTTGGAGAAGCACTAAAATTCAGAGAGTTTTTCATGTAGTCCAAACCTTGTTAACATAGTGATAGACACATCAGCAGAGCTCTTTTTTGCTTCATAGAGATGAGCAGTGATGACTGCAGCTATAAGCAATACATCGGGTCTTTTTATTTTGAAGGAGAAGGAAAACTGATCTCATATATTGCAAATGGGATATTATCAAACTGTGTTTCCCTAGAGTAGAGCATACAGATGTGTTGGTTGGTTTTGGTTTATTTAGAAATTAGTGTAGACTCTTATGAAACATTTACAAGTAGGCCTTTATCCTTAGAGGAAAAGCTTTAAATCTTTTCTTTATTTTTAACCTCTTAGTCTGAGGCAGATATATTTATCTACTATATAAAAATGTAGATTCCTGACTTGTTTATTCTAAACTTTTTCATGCTCTTATTTTTTTTCTCCTTGATGAATTTGCAGAAATACTAACCCATCAGTTCAACTTCTCTGTGCCTTTGTTGCATCTTATCTTGGCAGAAGTCTCATCAGTATAATTATGAAACATAATGTATTTAAGAAAAAACTAAGATGCTTGTACAAAATAGTATTTACCTGCAGTTCTCTTTAAAAACTGCAAGAATATTATCTAGTCTACTTCTCAGTAAATGTAGATTTCAGAAATGAAATGAGGATGTAGCTTGCTTTATTAACCAGAGATCACTCAGATTTGGCTTGATCTCTGTTTAGTGCTTCTGTAAGTAACTGTATGTCAAGTTCTCCTCCACAGGAACTTTTTCTTAGTTCTTGTAATATTGGTAAAGATGGTTGCAGTGTATAAATTATAAGTCCTGAGGAAGTTTTATGGGGATTAGTTAAGTTTCACATTTGTGAAAGAGAGGATTTATAGAGTATGTAGAATTATACATTTAGTTGTTACTAGATGCATATCAAGTTATTTAAAGGAAGCTTGGCCTAAGTAGTTAAAGAGTACAGGTGAAGATGATTTTAAACCATTAAACAAAGAATTACGTAGTTATGTCATTTAGAATGTTTCAAATAACTGAGACCCTCTAGCCGTTTTCTTTTGGAGTCTCATTTTAATTTGTGCAATATTTTCAGGCATATAGACTACTGTTCATTGTATTTATATAGATATTAGGGAACTTACTAAGTATTTTAACAAGTAAAAATATGAATATGAAAGAAAATATCAGATTTGCACTTTAAATGAGCTTTGTTGCTTGGAGTTGTGCCTGAAATATGGAAATGCCTCCTATTGGATGTGGCTTTCTTTGTTGAAATGAATTTCTCTATAATTATAGCTGTTTGAAGGACAGCCTTTCACAGAACTATATCCTCAGCATGCCACTTTTTTCATTAAGTCACTAAAGTTTTTAAATATTTCATCATCCCCTGAAGTATTTAACTCTGTACATCAAAAAGAACATGACCCCCTTATTGCTGTAAGTTCTAAATCTTTCTATGGCATTAGTGATGTTACTGACACAGAGGCACACTCTTCATTTCAGAGCAAGGTTGTCATGATGGCTTTTTGGTCTCTAGGGTACTGAGGATGTAATTTGGAATCGCCAGACAGGTTTGCAGTGAAGATCAATAAAGACTGCAGCACCATTTCTGTTTATTTTCCATCTCACCCAGTAGTTTTTGTGTTTATAAATTAGTTGGGGTGGTTATGTTGGCATGCTTATGCACACATTTGAAAATTAATTATAATTGTAATACAAATACATGGTGGTTTTCCTTGGGGATGATAGCCTTGCTATTTTTCCTAATTCTGATGCTTGAATTAATTTTTAATTTTCTTTAAACATCTTTAAATTTTTCTGCTGCAGCAGTTTGGATAAATTATTATGGTGGGTGCCATTCTAAAACTATGCTATTAATTAAAGATCTATCAGACATTTTAATCTTGTTGGGGTAAGTCAACCCACTTTCTCCTTGGTAAAGTATTGCCATAACAAAGTAATACTGTCCCTAAGAATTTAAAGTCTCTAAGTCATTACTAACTAAGACAAAAAGTCCAGTCTTTAATATCTGCAGTGTTGTTTTTTTTCCCATTGATTTTAAAAACCAGTTCAAAGTAAATGTTAGAATTTGCTTGTAAAATGAATTATCAAACTGGATGTAAAGTCTCTTTCCTGAAAATGTTGGCATAGTAAATAAAAATAAAGTTCATAATTATAAAACTTTACTTGTCCTTCTCAACATTGACTTGATCCATGGTGTACTTTTTCCCAGAGATTTTTTTTCCACAAATGCTATTCATTGCAAATTTTTTTTTTCAAACTCTTTCCTTTCACATACTCTCCTCTACACATCACATTCCAAGCCCTGAAATTGAACACCAATTTGACGTGGTATTCTCATAGACTTTGTAAGTGATGTGATGCTTGGGTTTCTATTTTAATTAGATACCCACTTATTTTAATTTTTAAATTTAAGTATTTTAATTTTTTGTATTAAGGTAGCATGGATTACAACACTGTACATGATTCAGAAATACAGTACCCCACTTCTTCACATGTATGCTACAATATCACACCACACCCTAGCCATGTATTTTAGAAAAAATTGGAGTAATGGTTTATTTTTACATGAAAAATATTAGCACCTTGGGTTAGAAAGCTGCGTAAAAGAGGAAATAATAATTTTAATTACTAATTATTAAGCATTACCTGTATAAAATAGCTTCATGCAAGAAATTTTTAATTGCCGCGGACCAGCCCAGCAGTGTCGGGGAGATCGAGGCAATCTCAGGGATTGAGCGAGAACGAGCATGAGGTGGTCGAAGGATTCGGGCGTGTCATTTCTTTCTTTCTCTTTCGCCCGAATCCTTCGACCACCTCATGCTCGTTCTCGCTCAATCCCTGAGATTGCCTCGCTCTCCCCGCCGCTGCTGGGCTGGTCCGCGGCATTTAATGAAAATTTATATCTTGTAGGAAAAAAATTTTTAATTTATAATTTTATCTTCTAATTTTTTTTTTTTTAAAGAGGCACGTATTTTATTCATTTATTTATTTATGTCAGAAGCGCGGGAGGGTGAGAGAATTCACCAGAGCCAGAGCGGGGAGCAGAGCAGGCAGAAGGACCGAAGTACACTGCTGAGGGGAGCAGCGGGCGGCAGGAGAGGTCTGCGCGCCATGCGGGACCCTCCTCTGGTGGCCGGGGAGCAGCCGGGGATCGAACCGGCGCCGCAGAGGCTGCGGGCAGCTTTGCAACCCAGCGCTCAACCGCTGCGCCACCGGGGAGGCCCTTTATCTTCTAATTTAATCATATATGTTCATCATATAATAGGATATAAAATTGGTACAGTGATATATCATGTTATAAACCCATAATGGTAACAAATGCTGAAAAAAAGATGAAGGAATTTTCATGAGTAGCATTAATGACTTTTACTACTTCCTAAGGTAACAATTTTAAGGTCCTCT